AAAGAGAGTCTTAGGAAGGTTGAATGATACCAATGTGTTGTATCTGGAGTCAGATTTTATTGTAAGATAAGGTCCTTATAAGTCAGTTGTAGTGATTTCTATGTTCTACAAATTTTTAAACTAGGCCTTTTCGGTAACTTACGCTGAGTCTGAGAACAAATACTTGTGAGCTGAAGCAGCTATAGTTACCTACTACTGCCTTTATAAAGTTCACCCAAATCCCAGTACGTACTTTACAGACTATCTTTCATACTTCCAGAAATCTAAACTCCCAATTCTACAGCCTGGAAGGGTAAAACCCTTCTTTCATTTTTCCCTGTCGGCCTTGTTGATATAGTGTTTTTGCCAAACACCTCAGTCCCATCTGGTTTTCCAGTATTCAGTTAATCATCCTTTACATAGTAACTGTCAAAGATCTGTGCTACCTCTCCACTCGGGTTTTGCCAAGCAGGCTTTCATACCCTGTAAATTTACTAGATTTATCCGGTAGTTTCACTTGAGTTTTGTGTAACTCGTACATCACACTACATGTTCCACTACCTCCCAGTACAAGCTGATATGACCACCATTACAGGTTCTACAACCCAGTCTTCCAAATGCATTTTATATAATTCAAATTTTCGTCGCTGGTGGGATTCAAACTCTAGTCCTGCTGCTTGGGGTGTAACTACTTCCCAACTTTACTAAGTCACCACACCTTTATGAAAAGAACTTTTAAATCTACCTTCTATAGTACATATAAAAAGTTTTAACTAGACAATGTTTCAATTTTTATATACAGTAAATCTAAATTAGCCAAACAGATTTCTAGAATAGATAATACAAATTAAATTAAAAATTTTTAATTGGTCAAAAAAAATTTGTGACCGGTCAACTAAAAGAAGGCTTATAGCATTTTTTGCAAAAATGAGTTAGCTAAACTATTGTATAAAGCAGGTATTCTTCTATATAATTTGATATTTAAAATATCAATTTACATAATAAAATTTTTGCTGATGCCCACTTTTCTAAATGTTCATATATAATTATATGTAATCTAAAATTAGAATTTATAAATCTAGTTGTTGATCCTTGCTGTGGAGTCATAGAGAAGCATTCATATGATTGGCTAATTTATGCTGATCTAACAGATTATACTAATAATAGATTGTCATTATTATTGTTACACCAAATTTGAAACGTGATTTTCTCAAAATGGAAAAAAAGCTATAAGCCCCCTTTTAGTTGAATGGTCCCTATATATTTCAATTTTTATTTTTTATAAAAAAATAATCTAAATTTTAAAAGCTATTAACTCTATAAAAATTAAATTATTAAAATCTGACCAGTAATTTTGTAGATCTAGTCATAAAAACCAAAATTACTGATTAGATTTTTAAATTTTTGATTTTTTAGAAAGTTAATAGATTTTAAAGATCATCTATTATATTTGTATGTTAAGACTTTCTACAATATATTAAAATTAATCTTAAATAATTACAGTATTTAAAAGGTTTTTTTAAATGATATTCATAAGAGATCTAAGCGGTATTATGAATAGTTGTGGTGTATGAGTGAGCAAAAGAGTAGTGTATGCTACAAAAATCGCATTTGAGTATATAAAAAATTAGTATGCTATACTCATAATATATATATATAATATATATAAAATAGTATAGTCGAAAATTTATGTAATTGACCTCACTACGTAAAAGTCAAGGTTTTTATACAATTGTATGTATCTCTAACGATAATAAAGATTTTTACGAGATTTGTACGTATGTACGTATGTTGTGAAAGGGAAAAGTCATACGGGATCGACGTCGAAGTGGTTCGAGTCGATTTAACCAAATTGGGCAAAAGCAATTATAGCTGACAGCTATGGCAGCTATGACGGTAATGGTATATAGGGTAGAAATGGTAGAAGCGTTAGCAAAAATTTTGTACCAACGAAAATGTATATAAAGTCTTAAAATTTCGTCCAAAATAAAGGATAACTTCCCTTGAGTTCATAACTACGAAAGTATATGAGTAGTAGTTTCAAGGTTTCTGCTCTTTAATAAATCGTAACGTAAAATAGTATATCGAATTTCTTGTCTCCGTGATTTGTAAAAACCCGTATTGTTAGTACGTTAAAAAGAGAAAAGAGAAAGATTGAATTAGTAATCGTATTCCAATTTATATAAAATTAATAAATTGATTAAGTTCGTGATTAATCCCATTGTTAAAATAAATACATAATTACTCTTGAATCGTGATCCCATGACATGTGACACTGAAAATCAGAACCCGAATAATTCGTTAAAACCCAGGCGTCCTTGAAGAATAAAGAAATTCATATAGTAGATATTAGTAAAGAGAACTAAAAAGTAATAAGAAGTGCCAATAATATCAGTAACTTTTAGTATTAACAGTAGTAAACATACCTTGAACTTAGTCTCGTGACAGCTGCAGCATCGAATTATACCCTATTTCGGACCAAACCAAATCACGCCTCAATTGAAGCCTACCAACTAGGGTATAAAGGAAAGATATTATTAAATTTAGTAGTGGTTGTGTTGGATTTTAGAGTAAAAGCGACCCTTAGTTAGCTTAGTTTTTATTGTCATACCATTTTACACTGTCATAACGTACGTACGTAAAAAAATCAAGTTTTTTACAGAATTGGACATACATACAGTACATACTTTATTGTAAATAATGATAACAGTTTTCACATATGATTAACCACCAATTTAAGCAATTTATGTAAATTTCTTTCAGGTCATTATTTACATCTATCAATAAATATAAAATATGATCCTACATAAAAGCTTTATATCCTATATCGATATTATTCACATAATTATATATAAATTTAATGAAGAAAATTCGCAAAATTTTTTTCATATGCAGTTGCGCCAATTGCACCTTTTCCATCCTAATTTGTAGGCTTCAGTCTTTGTTCTTTTTCAAGATTCGCTAATTCAACTGAATGAACTTTTGCTTCACATTCTCTTAAGGCTAGTTCATGTTCCTTTAATGCCAACAACCATTCTTGGTATTCAAGTTTATCAATTTTTGAGCTTTCTTCGTGTTCACTTTCACTTGAACCTTCAGAATGAATAACAATTGCTTTGGAGTTTTTTTTAGTTTTTGTTGATTTTTTTCTTTTATTTTTGGTAGATTTGTTAGAACCTTTTGCTAATAGTTTAAATATATTAAAATAAATAGCAATTGATAAAAATAATTACATATTTATAATTAAATTACTTGTTTACCTTTACGTTTATTTGATGAAACATTGTGACTAATAATGCCATTGTCCTGTCCACGATTAGGTATATTATATTGTTGGTGAACATGAATAGCTGTAAATTTTTCTTTATCCAATTTACGACCTCTACAATATAAACCATTACAAATTGTAAAATATAATTTAAACCAATGAGCCAATCTCTGCCATTATGAGTATTCTGATCATGCTTAATCAAACTTTGAATGAGAATTGTAATAAATCGTTATAGAATTTGATACAACAAAACTTGCGCCGAGAATCTACTCAAGGATATGGCTTAATATATTATCAAAGTTTGATCAAAAGTTTCTGAATATTCATAATAGTAGAGGCAGACCCTAATAGTATAAAATAATATATCGATAGCGATGAGAATTTCTGATTATTAATTACAAATTGTTAATGATTAAAAATTAACATTTAATAAATAAGTTAACAATAATTACTAAGCGATTAATAAATAAATTATCCAATATGCACAGAATATCTTCATAGAAAAAAATGATACAATCGATGGTTTTTTAAAATTCGCAAATTTTCTATAAAATCATTGATCACACTAATTAAAAGCTGTAGTGGAAGATTCTAGCACTGATATATTTTTACAAGAACTATTATTGATTAATTTTTGGTTGCTACAATAAAAAATGTTTAATTCGCTGATTACATATTCTATCGATGCTTTCTATGTATTTTGGATAATTTAATTATTAATTGTTAGAAATTATTTATTAATTTAACAATTCTTTGCTAACAATTAAAAATTATAAATTCCTATTACTATATATCATATAAAACTTATATTTACTGTAAAATAGCTGACATCAATTTTAGATTTTTTCCGCGCCGATTACTTAATGTATGAGCAGCTTCTGCGACATTTGTATTATTAGGAGATAATATCCAAATTTCCTTATCTATTTGTGACATGCATTGGTTGAGTGATGCAATAACCTATTTTTGGCGATAAAATATAACCCAATCTAATATACAGTATATATAATATACATACATAATTAAAACATATGCGTATGTATTAAAAAAGAAAAAAAACATACCTGCTATTTTTTCAATTGCTTGAATGTTTTCAAACAATTGATTAATTTCATTTTCTGACTTAGCCATAAGCAATGCAAGCATATCGTCAGTTATAGTTTCATCATATCATTTTTCAAAAATTTTTCTTAGAAATAAAAAAAAAAAATTAATTAATAAGTAAAAAGAAGCAATTAGCAATAAATTATATAAAATTATATACTTGCCTTTTGTAATGCACTTGGCAAGATTTAAAAATAGAAATTAAATGTTCTTCCCAATTTTTTGTTTGATCGATCTCATTTAAAACTAATCCAAGACCTCGTGCCTGCGCGTAATCTAGATCGGCAATAATACATTCCCAACCGGTTCCATGTATATGTTTAAATTGAGGAGACACACCAGTTAGTTGTAATATAAGATCAAATAGTGCACGAAACATTCTTTGATATGCAGTTGTTGTAGCTTGGTTAGTAAAAACTCTAGCGTAAGTAAGAATTAATAAAACTTTATTAATATATAGCATGTATATAAATTAATATTAAATTACAAAGAATAAAAAAAACTCTTTCCGTCAATCACTTACACAAAACTTAACTAAAAATTCGCCAGTATAAAATCCTTAAAAACTCAATATTTTATTAAGATAACTGTTCCTAACATCTTAAGTAAACTTGCTCAGCTCTTAATTTTACATATAATTT